AAGTCAAACCGCACACAATTGGCTGTCCATCTGGAACCAGTAGAGCAGCGAGGCCTCAGCTTTGTCACACGATGCAATGTCAAGACCAGGCTGCAGCAGCCTCTGTGACGCCAGACAAATGCAGGGAATATTTGATGCCGAGATCAGCAGGGGACGTCAACTTAACTCTTGTAACTGAGTCTCAGGAAGACAGCACATTAATAGCGAGAGGCTCCAAGGTACGCGCTCGGCCGGCTTGCTGTCCGATCTGTATAAATGTTCTAATATTGAAGGTTGCCAGCCGAAACGGAGAACGGGGCCGAAGGAGGGCCACTGGTCGGACTCTCTGGACATGGGCGAGACTGTCATCAGAGGTAGATTTAAGGAAATTATTGTTGAACCTAGGATTGGTGTGTGATACAGGTCCGTAAGTAGTCACCATCATACACGTCAGCTAGAGGTGGGGAACACCTCAGCTACTGTGCCGCAATACATAAAGGAAAAGGAAAATAAATACAACAGTTGCATGCCAGCTGAGCTACCAGCAACGGATAGGCGTCGTTCCGGTAAGCTACCAGCTGGCTACTAGGCAAAAAAATTATTATGTTACGCTACGAAATGAGATCGTACGTGGAGGGGAGGCTAAGAGGGATGGGGTGGGACAAAGAAACTCACAGCACGAACGCAACTGAGGTCGGCTTCTTGCCATGTCAGCAAGTGTATCCAGCCAAACGTGTTCACCGTCTTTTGGACCCCAACCAGTGAGCCGTGACGCTCCAACCGAGGCCAGCTCCGAAGTGAGGGCCTTCATTCCTTTGCACCAAGTCATCGCTTGGCCAACGCTCCTCTTCTTCCATCCACATCCCCGATGAGCAAACAACGCACGTCGTGGAAGTTGGTGGGCTGGCATGCGCAACACGTGGCCCAGCCATCGGAGCCTGGTGCTTGAAATGACGTTGCTGAGCGATTCAGTTCCTTTTTCTGTACCGTAAACAAGGCGTCGAACACGCTCGTTGCTCACGCGGTGTTCCCACCAGATGTGAGCTAAATTACGAAGGCACCGATGGTTGAACGTAACTAACCTCTTCATGTCCGCCGATCTTAGGGGCCAGATTTCGCAACCGTACAGTAGGGTCAAACGTACCGCTGCATTGTACACTCTACCCTTCAAGGCGAGAGTAATGTCGCGCCGCCGCCATAAGTAACGAAGGTTAGCAAAAGCACTTTGATATACGGTTCGTGATCTCGTCTTCGATCCCAAGGGCGCTGATACAACTTCCCAGGTAGTTGAATTTTCGAACGACTTCTAGCTGATCCCCACCAAGGGTCAGCGCAGGAGGCGATCCCTGCCACTCTTGGAGGAACGCATTGCATTTCGATGGTGCAAAGTAAAGTCCGAAACGGCTGACAGCCAATGCTAATCTGTCCAGTGCGGCTTGGCACGTCTGGGAGCTGTCACAGATGAGAGCAATATCGTCTGCATACTCCAAGTCAAGAAGTCGTTATCCTGGAAGCAGATCCACAGCTTCCAAGTCATGTCCTGTAAATGCAATCTCCACGACTTCGTTAATAGTGAAGTTGAAAAGGAAAGGTGACAACGGCCATCCTTATCTCACGCCGCTGGAGATACTGAAGGGTGGCGACAACTTGCCGTAAGCTCTCACTCTGCCTGTGCTACGCGCGTATAATGCTTGTATAATATTTACATATTTCTCGGGCACACCTTTCCTGAGTAGACAGTTGCAGAGGGCACATCGAGCAACCGAATCGAAGGCACTTATGATGTCGAGGAACACGACAACTGTAGGCCGCAATATGTGTGACGGTGCTCCAACAACTGACGCAAGGTGAAGATGTGGTCGATGCAGCCACGGCCCCGACGAAACCCGGCTTGCTCCTCACGAATCTGGCTTTCATGAGCGCCAGTCAGTCTGTGAAGGATTTTGGAGGCGATGGAGATCAGACTGATTCCTCTATGGTTGCCGCATTCCGAACGCGAGCCTCCTTTGAAGACGGGAACAATAACGGAGCGGCTCCAGTCGGTTGGGATAGTCTCCTGCTCCCACAGTTTCACTATTAATTCATGTAAAGCATCAACAAGAGCAGGTCCCCCGAATTTGTAGAGGGCTGAAGGAATATCATTTCGTACCGCGGCTTTGTTCAACTTCAACAGTCCGATCTCACGTTCTACTTCTGAGCGAGAGGGTGGATCCAAAGGGACAGCCCACGGAGCAGGGTGATCACTGGCCGGTGAAGAATCGAACAATTCTAGCCGATTAAATTGCTTTTCAAAATGCTCAGCCCAACGCTCCAAACGTTTTGACAAATTGTGGATATCAGAATCAAAAGACAGCTAGGCGAACAAGCTTGTTTTCGGTGGTTCGCATCAGGTCACGTATAGTTTCACTAACACCAGGTCCCTTACTGCCCGTTTTCCGTATCAGACGGAGTAACTTACGATGGTTACCAAGGGCAGCGGCCACTTCCACGATGAGACAACCAAGATTCGCGGCCTCTCTTCAGGCTAGCATAGAGTCTTGCCCGGAGCTCTTTGCGAGTTTCATTGTGTTCGCTTTCAGCCGGGATATGCCGGCGAGCGTTGATAAGTTCCAGAGACTGCGAAGAAACCCAATATCCATGTTAGCTATTAGACATACCACATGAGGATTTGCCTGCTGCTAGTAAGGTCTGGTGAACATGTGACCATTGACCATCAATTGTCTCCAGTGAGCGCTTACTCAACTCGCATGTCAGCGTACTTCGATACGCATTCAGAACAGCTGGCTTTGTCAGTTGGCTGGTGTCAATGCGCTCACACGTCGTCGTGGGCGTCCGCCAAAACGCATCCGCTTGTCAGCACATACAAATGCATGAGCGGTGTCCACACATGTGCTCCAAATCGAGCGACAGTTCAGGATGCAGCCTCTCCAGCGGTAACTGATAGCAATGTGATCGATCTGCGTCCAAGGCTGGTGGGCGCCAAATCACCCTCCGGCGGGTGCTGTGTCGGAAGTTATTGCTCGCAGGAAATAAGCGAGCATCTTCACACAAATGAAGTAACCGCTCACCGTTATCATTACGGGAGCCTACACCGTGCTGACCGCCCAGATGCATTTCATCAGTGGACAACTTTCCAACTTGTGCGTTCAGATCCCCCACCAGCACAACAGTGTCCGTGCTTCTGTGGCGAAGGAGCTGGGTCAGTTGGTGGTAGAAAGTCGTTCTTTACCGAATCATCGCTACAGTTTTGGCGCGTAGGCAGCGATGATGAATAGACACCCATTAGTCCCGCGAGACTTCGAAGCTTTGAACGAGCCAGCCAATCGAACCGCACACAACCGGCTACTGATTGGGATCCAATCAACCAGAGCAGCTTCAGCCCGGGGACTCAAGGCAATGCCAACACCAGCTTGGCCGGTGCTCGAAGCTGCATCGTCACCGGATAGGCGCAGTGAGAAAGTGCTGCTGGTGTCACCTGAATGGGATCGCAGAGTGATCACAGAGCTCGAGTCTTGCAGGCGGGTCTCTGATAAGCAGTATATATCGATGGAGAGGGTCTCTAATATTCGGGCAATTGCTGTCTGTTCACCGATCTGTAGTAATGTGCGTACATTGAGGCATGCCAGTCTGAAGGAGGATCGAGGGCTCCAAATGGAAGCCGATGAACTGGAATGGACCGCTTGGTTGGACATGGGCTTGTCGACAAGATGGGAGTGACGCTGCGCGTTAGCATGTGAGTTGAAATTAGAAGATAAATGTCTAGCAAAGCATGTTGGGGAAGGGCCAAGAATCGGGGGTTGAAAACTGAGGGGATAAAAGTGAAGTTGGAACGGGACCATAGGGGAGAAAAAGCGTAAGGGGGGAATAAGAAGGCGGCAAGGTTTGAGCAGTAGCATCCAAACCCCTATTCACCCTGCTCGATGCAGCAGATAGGGCACCGCTGATTATCCTCTGCGGTGGCCAGAGCATCAGAAATTTGTTTGGGGAAGGATTCATTGTATTGCGTGGGCAGGATACTGTCAGGTTGCCCAAGCCTAGACAGGAGAACGATTACGGTTCTCAACCAAAGCCTTTGGTTCAAAAACCTTACCGCAAGGCAGCGGGTTTGGTGTTGGGCTACAAGGAGTCCGTTCTAAGGAATAAGGTGCCACCCTCATTCCAACCCCCAACCTGGAGGACCAGGAGGCTGAGTTTGTCTGGCCTCTAACCATTGACCAATCTGGTATGAGTGGCTCTGAAGGTGCAAAAGCACCACCTGGCATAGTTCAATGGATCAGTTAAGCACATAAACCATCGCACCACGGTATGGTCCAGCCTCATTGCGATGGGCGTGAGTAGTGAGAGACGAGAGACGATAGGTAGCTGGAAGCCCATACTCCAGTATCTAGAGAACATGGTCAAACAAGTTGAAACCGGGTGGTACTATAGTAATCGCTGAGGACAATAGGGGATAATGTAGCGGGTTTGAGCGCATCCTTGTCGCGTTTCAGAAGGTAAGAGATGGCTGACTCCTGTTGGGACACCTAATATTGTTTCCTCCTCTTTTTCCCCTCCTTTCTCGTTTGCGACGCTGTTGAGCCAACTCTTCAATCTAGCTCGGTCTCTTCCTAACTGGTTGTCATTATGCCATCCAAACCACGCTTTGCTTTTCAGCCTCAGATTTCTTGTGACGGACGCGGAGGAATCTTGAATCTCGAGTCGATACACGCATGTGACGTGCACCTCTCTCGTTCTCACTAAGTTCAACCTTAACACACTGGGTCTTACCTGCTCCTACTAGGAGCATTGCACGTTACAGTAGTAGGTCCGAGCGCGACTGATTAGCGATCCATTAAGGAAAGATAGTTGCACCACGAGTAGCCGACCAATATTGTTTCCAGTTTCGCTTTCAGCCATCACTCGCGCTTATTCTCACCATCCATTCGATTATCTCATAGGAATACGACACGAAAGGATGGATAACTTCACCAGACCCATTCCTTTGTGTTGTTTTAGTTTTCTCTATGTTTACTTACTTTTCAGCTTCATGGGAAATGTGGAAAGCGATCTTAAACCCCGACACGAGGCCAGTTGCTTGGTCAAAAGCCAAGAGATATCAGTAGGTATCATCTTGGTCGAACCATCCACTTAGCTCTTGTCCATCAGGAGCCTGATGTCCGAATCTTGGATAAAGCGGAACTTACAGTAGGTTTCTGCCAATATTGTATTTCTCTCCTTAGCGCATCTTTGATCCTAAGATGCACACCCTAGCCGAAGCGCTTTGGCGTCATTATTCAAAACGGGATTCCGTCGATCGAATGGAGCGTGGAAAGCTTATCCAAGAACTATGTAACCATGAAGATAAAATGCTTTTCTTCGTTAAAGTCGCTGCTTGGCCTCATCAGCAAATCGAGGAGAAAAGTAATCTATTTCGTTGTGGTTAATTTTTTAAGGTCTTCGTCTTCTCCTATCGTGGCTATCATATGGGGAGACCCTAACGCCCCCTCTAGAGGCGGCGTTGTTGAGAATATGCCTCCCTCTTACGCAAGTATTACTACTCCTTTTTAATAATTGTTTTTACCAGCCTTTAGATGCATCTGTTAGTGCTGTTGCCGCCCGTATCTCACCGCTTCTTTCTGATGTCGCAGATGATCTTGCGAAGATCATTGTATGCACTCTAAAATCGAGTGAACCAGTGTCTGTGAGTTGTGTTCACTTGACTTCTATCCACACAAGCTCGAATTTCACGTTTCATCGGGATTTACTCCTATCATGACCCCCGAAGTACTCTGGCTCCTCTCTATCACTTTGACTTCTCCGTTTAAACGGCCGTGTGTTTCCCGTCTGCGTTACAGTTCTCCTCTGGAGATAGTGAGTTTAACAAAAACGTGGACATCACTTTTTTACGATAGGAACAATTGGCCCACATACATCTACTTTACGATAGTAGTTCTCACGGTTTCAGTGTCACGAGGTTAGCGGACCAAATTTCGGTCACCGATGTCTCTTTATAAAAATACCTTATTTTCAGCGAACTCCATTTTGATCCTGCTATCGATCTATTTTTGTGTTTCCACACTGGAAAACGATCTCAGAAATCGCCTCAAGACTCACGTCAGCCATGTCACAATTGTGTCTTAAACTTTACGTCTACTTATGACTCCAGCTTTTTTGGCTAACCCTCGACCATTACCATTAATTGCAGTGACCTGCTATACCTTGTCAATGTTTATGTACCCAGTGCCCATATGCACTTTGCGAACTCATCGGTCGGATGTAGCGAGTGAATATTGTGACTAAGTACAGGTTCCCAGGAGACAGTTCCACGGATGGTCGTATTACTTTACTTGAACTGCCAGCTATGCTTACATTGATACCTACACTCTACTTTCCGCATTCTTATTAGTTTTAAACAGTTGAACACCACGAAACTTCTCTGAGACCTACATTGCGAAATTTAAAAAATTTTCTTCGCCATCCGAATATGTTGCACATAATGATCAGACAACGCATTTGGTCTGTGTCTCGCACCGTCGAGTAGTATACGATTTATTTATTTAGCAATGAGGTGCTACACGTGTCACGCGTTTTTTGTCTGGGGAGCAAAATCTAATGCGCGTAAAATCGCCATCACATATTCTGCCGTCCTTCTACTTTTCAAACCAATAGGCTGACTCTGCGCCGGTTAACGCGCGTTGCTGCATGCCTTGTCCCGGATGACTTTGAGGTGCTCCCTAGATTTGAGCGGCTGTCCTCACTTTTGTTTATACTCAATGATTTCGCACCGGATACCACTGTGCGATCCGAAGTCCTGGATTTGCCTAAACGTCTGGAATCTGCGAGTACCGTTCCACTCAGTCTCTTTACCCGCACAATCTAAAAATCACGTTCCTTTGATGAGAGGGTGCTGGAAAGCAATGATCTGGTTTTTCTCTCATGCCAAACACGGCGTATGCAGTAACCCTATCAGGGGACGGCTCTTTCAACCCTGTTACTGTTTTGACCTATACCTGGTCCAGGTTGACAACCGTTTAACCGGCTGGTATCCATCGAGCAGCGGCGTGCCCCAAGGCACTGTACTGGGGCCGATATTGTTTCTGATCCATGTAAACGATGTGCCTCAGCTACTCCAATCATTTTGTGCGTTGTTCGCAGATGACTTGAAGGTGTGGAGAGTAATCCGAACACCCAGTGGTTGTGATTTGCTTCAGCACGACCTCGACCGCCTCTCCACGTGATCTACAGAGGTCAACCTTCCGATCAACCCGGTCAAGTCGCAATTCATGAGGCTGGGTAAGTGTGAACACAGTCGAACGTACACGGTGGCTGGTCAACCGTTGCATCCCGCGCTTTTGTGCGCGACCTCGGTGTACTCTCACGCTGCGACCTAAAGTCCATGGACAATACGAATAGGATTTACTAAAACAGCCTTCGTATGCTTTCGGCGCTCAGGCGCAGCTACAGCACTTGGTCCGAAGAGATTGCCACTCGTCTCTTCGTTTCAATACTACGACCAATGCTAGAGTATGGCTCTCCCGCATATTGTCCTATCACCCGGGGTGAGGTAGAAAAGCTTGAGCGAGTGCAGTATGTAGCCACCAGGCTGATTCCAAACTTACGTGGTGTGCCATACGAAGACCGGTGTAAGAAACTAGGGTTGTACACCCTAGCTTATCGTCGAATGAGGGTTGACCTCATCGTGACTCACTGGATATTACATCTGGGTGATTACTCGATGTTGAGACCACTGCTTTATCTGCGCAAACCAAGCAGTACACGGGGACACCGGTATAAGCTTGTCGTACCGGATTTAAAGCGGGTCGCTCACCAAATCTGTTTCGAACGCAAAGTGGTGAATGTCTGGAACGACCTGCCACGGCACGTAGTAGAGGCAAACTCAGTGTCGGAATTTAAGAAGTTCCTTGACAAACACTTTGCCGACGCAAAATATATAGAGCGGAACCCAATAGAACGGGTATTTGTCCATGAGTGACGACTGATGCAGCTACACAGAGCAAGCTCTACTCGCTGCTTCGAACCAGTATTCAGTATTCTCATGATGCCCTGATGAAGCTGTGTGTGCGTATTATCATGCTGCCCCCTGCGTTGCACCGTATCTATTGGCCTAAGTTCAGTAGCGGATCTCAGCATCGTTACTGGAGGGCGCCACTCCCGTGGCAGTGTCCAAATAGGCCGCTTCGATACATTTAATTAAATTCGCTAGCTCCTTTCGAGCCACATCGAATAATCTAAGTTAGGCGGGTTCGGGTCCTTCGGTTGTGATCTGACGTAACTGACAGTCATACGTCTGTGGTGCGAATGTATCTGCTACCTTCAAGGATTGTATTTATACGGAATTAGTCATTACAGAGCCCTTCAGGATGAGGATTTCTATTGGTGCGAAATCGCTCTAATGGGGTGGTCGATTCCAAACACTTCATACAGGCTTCCGGTATGTGGTACGATTGGTGCTTCGTACTAATCGATAAGACCGAGTGCCCATTGAATACTCAAACAATAGCAATGTCTCAGCATGCAGATACTTTCCCTCATAAACGTCACTCATTATTCTCTACTTTAAACTCTGAAGACCCAAGGATGACAACATTACTACGGGAACATTCACTTGCATCTGGACCGTAGCACTCGCGCGTCTGAAACACACGGTAATGTAAATTAAGCACAACTGGCCAATCTGGATGGAACAATGCAAAGCGGTGGGTTTTGTGAAATAAAACTGTGCGAACGTGGAAATTTGCTACTCAAAAAACGCAATATTTGTGCTTTTTATAGGAGTTGACCTTTACTAAACTCCATACGGCTAACTCATCGTAGGTTATCACTATCGTCAATATCATGGTGATTCGCTTGTCGCAAATGCGTCGTTTTCAGACACAACATATTTCACGGGCGGTCTTTGTTAACTATTGGCTGATGGCCGAGTGTTTCATGGCTTTAATTCACAAGCCGCCGGTTCGAGTCTACGTAGGTGCGGATGACGTGACATTGTCCGTGTTCCGCACACGAACCCTTCGCTGTTGCGTGACAGTAAAGCATCGACACGGTGTGACGGCATACTTTTGATGGCCTTTTCCTTTTCTCATGGATTGTTCGGCTGTACTTTCTTCCGACTAATGTCGTACACCTTTTCCTTTTTTCCAAATATTCAGGATCAAGGAATTGGCTTTCGATTACGACGGTCCACTTATACTGTTTCTGAGAGCCGAAAAATACCTTTTCTGTCTGGCTAGTGACCAAGGTCTAAAGTTAGTACTACATCATCGCTTTCGTTAACAACTTTTTTCGGTCCTTTGTGTACTAAAATTTTTAATTTCCGGCTTTTTTTGATTGTCTCCATATGCGCCGCCCTGCTTATCCACTACATTTTAGTGACACCCGCACATCCGCGCGACATAGGTAGTGCGGGACGAAGATTTGAGATGTGTTCAACAGACGCGCAAAAATAGAATCCATTTTGTTGAGGCACGTTACCCGCATTGTTGTTTTCGCCTGTGCATTTCCTCAGTTGCACAATACCCAGCCGCGTCATTGCGATGCGTGAGCAACGACTGCTTCTGTGTGTTACTAATCTATCTGGTTTTAACAAACTAGTTACCGTGTCCGCTGTTACAAGAACTGTTATTCCGGCTATAGGGAACCAATTGGGAGTACCCACGAAATCATGGAGAGGTGTTGTTCTGAATCTGATTACAGTCGATTTTCGGCACCGGTCTCATTCCGAAACCGACACGAGTTACTCACTTGCTCGATTCATTCCGTTATATTCACCCGGTCGCAAGTATACCATTGCATTTTCGCTCATCTTGATCCCCAAGTTTGTTTCTTCTTTTTTGGTCACATCCACCATTTGCCATTGTTTCTCATCGGTTGTTATTGGTACTGAATAGGCAACACGAAATGCTTGCATTTACCAAATGTCGTCTTCTTGCTGTACTTTTCAGATTACATATATTGTTCTCTCGTATATTACCTCTCAACGGTTTGTGCTGTGTTTGCTTTCTGAACCTTTTGCATCTAACCATTGCTTCGCAGGGACTCCTTGAGAACGTTTGGCGCGGAGAATTCGCTGCTGCTGCAAATCCAGCCGGATTTCATAAAACTGGTCTGTAAGTGGATGTTTTCTTTGCTGCGCGGCCTTATTCATCATACAGGTTATCCGACAGCGATAGTCCGGGATCACAATCTCCGTTGAAAGAAAGTCAGTGACCGTGACCATTAATCATCCTACTCAATTCGATTACACGCATCCACTCGTTGTGTATGAAGTAACATGTAATCACCTTAGGCACTCTATCCTACTTAAGTGTGAGCTGAAAAGGACAAATGTTGTGCGACGTTATTTTCACACAGTGTCCAGACTAATCTCTACCGGGAGTTGTGGTTGAATACCTTCATCGACACCGAACTGCAATTTTGTACTGACGAAGCAAAACCGTCGAGACGAGACTGGCCATTGATGTTGTGCGACCGTTTGCGTACACCGGCTCATTGGGCTATGCTGGTTAGTGCGCTCCCAGGCGTATTAAGAGCTACTCCAGGTTTGTCCCCCAGGCTGAGGGTCAGAAGTGGGATGGCGTCCATTTATGTAAAACCGAATCGTTGCCACTCCCACCGCCTTGCCTACAGCCATCATCATTATCATCAACAGCAGTACATCAGCCATTTGAACTGATGCTTCGCTGCCATACAACCATGAGGAACTATGAAATAAAGAATAAGAAGAGGGAGAGAAAGGGGGACTTACCTGAAAACCTTAATGCCCTAAGCAAACATTCAGGGTCAAGGCGCCTACACCTTGTGTAGACAACATACCGTCACAAACAGCTGGTTATCGTGCAAAGATAAGGCGGCATCGGCGAGACAGCTTCCTTGCGGCTTTCACTGCCCCGCGTCATAATCAGCCATTACCCCGCAGATAACTCACCACCAAACACACTTTAAACAGGCAATCAGATTAGGAGACGGCAGAAGACGCGCCACTGGTGTCGGTTGCGAGCCATGTCCTGTAAAGTCTCGAGCCAAGCAAAAGCCGAGTCACGTGCACTCCAGTGCGAAAGGCGAGACGGATCAAGGGCACCCAGTTTGGTTGTCAGTGACTTCATTTCCCGCTGCCAAGTCAACATCTGTCCACCTCGAGCCTTGCGCCACCCTACACCTGGCAGACTATACAAGGCCCTCCTAGGTAAGCGGTGACCAGGCATACGTAGCACGTGCCCGAGCCAACGCAACTTATTCAGTGCTATCTGTTGTTCTAGGGAGCTAGCATGATTATCACTACCTACGCACATTATCGTTGCAGACACGCTGGTGCCATCCGACAACATCAACGCTTCGCAGACAACGATGATCAAAGACTTGAAGGCGCTTTGGATCTTCAGACCGAAGGAGCCAAGTCTCACTACCATAGAGCAGAATGGCTCTCACTGTGGCCTTCTATACATGGCCTTTCAGACGGAGGGGAATTCCCTTCTGTCGCCAAAGATGACGCAGGTTCAAAAACGCCATTCTGGCCTGCGTTTCTGGATTGCGACACGCAATCTTAATTTGCGATACAATTCGCCTTCAGACAAACCTAGGCCATTCCCAGTGTTAGGGACGAGGAGCATAGATGTTATCGCTACAAATTAGGTTCCAGCGATATGAAAAACGCCATCTCACGATGTTGGATGTATCCGAAGTAGAAAATGACTCACCACGCCTTCACACCGTTTGAAGTGTGGACATGACGTTAACGTTATTTTTGTGTGCACCTTTTCCAAGCAACGTGTGAGGATGAATAGTTCAGTATAAGCAATCTAACGCTTCTCTTTCAGAGGAACACGGCTACTATGGGTCGTCGATAAATGGCGGTGATCAAGCAATAGACGCCAAATGAAGATGTGACCAATAAAGTCTCCCAGTATAACATATGGCTTATTCTTCTGAAATCTGTGCCGACAGATTTCGCCGCCTTTTACTCCGAGTCATTGAACTTGAACAGCGCTGCATCTTAGCTAGCCAACACACTTTATTCTCCGTCGCTTAGAGTTTATTTTTTCCCCGAAATTTCTTATCACGTTCTGGCCATCTCGGTCGTGAAAGGCCGGTTTATAAGAAATATAACATATGAATTGAATCGTCTGGTTAGGTGGTCCTCCATGCGAAGCACAGACGTGGGTGTAAACAACAACTCGATTGTTTTAACAGCTAAATCATAAGTCAGCGTAAGCGAGCATATGTTTTCGATAAGTCATCTTCAGGCAAATCAAAACAAAGTGGGTAAACAGATATTACCAGTGAGGGTATGCGGGTGTTCTCCGAGCTGGCTGATTTGGTTGCAAACGTTTCATCGTCAGACTAGACTCATGGAGTGAGTTAAATATTGTCGGTGGCTGTTCATTAGCTTTCTACGAATAACATCGCGCGTCGGAGGTCATCAGGCGTTTGAGCCAAGGTAGTCCCAAACCTCTAGTTAGCTTCTTCTAAATATACATTTCAGGGTCATACAGTCGAATCGCGAATGCTTCAGCAGCTTCTATACCATTTCACAGGCATATTAGCCCGATGCTCAATGAAGTTAAGCCGTTGAGATTTCAACTTCGTCTGTTGCTCTTACAAGTTCGCACGTCCGTGCATCGGCCGTTTGTTTTTCCGCGCACCGTCGCGTAGCTGCCCCATTGGTCAGGCGCCGTCGCCTAATAGGAATTCCGCGGTAGGTATAGGGGAAAATATAGTCACGAAGAGGGCAAAACTTGCTGACCGTGCATGCCCGATAGCAATTCGTCCCCAAGGCGATGACAGGGATGAGACTAGGTCAGTAATTGCGGGGAAGGATGAAGTTGGGTCGCTGTAAGACAAGGGGTTGCAGTATGCCCCACCTTATCACTTTAACAAATCCTGTCGGCAGAAACAGCTGATATTTGTGCCGCATTCCATCACAGCCGGTAGTCAGTGTTCTTGTACCTAAAGTTACCAGGTCCTTGTCCGTGCAAGCAATTGTATGCGATGGGCACATTGCGCGCGGGCCAGCAGGCAAAAAACGAGTGGCGCACTGAGTCGGTACGTCACAATGTAGTATGATCAAACGGCTAACTCGTATGTTAACCGGTAAACGTAGGTGACATCACTGGTGCGATGATCGCAACCCAGAAAGCTTCCTGACATCAAGAGATTACGATTGGCTATGTACCAGGCTGCACATTAAGCCTTTAATGCGGCTAATGATACGACAGTCTTCGTTCATGTTCCACGGATAGCACCGGTTGTTTTTCAAACTAGTGTGACCCTTACATTGAATAAGCGAGTCAAGTCAACTCATGAATGTGCTTCATGCACTCATGAAGGGTGAATATACAGCTCTAATGAGTTCGCGCCGGTAGTAAAGTTAGACACATTTGGGACGAATTTCGGTCACCTAAACAAACTTTCTCATTAATCATATGGCTATAGTATTGTGCTAGTACGATTTTGAAATCGAATTCCGCTTATAGTTATGGTGTCTGCAACTAGGAAAAAGCATTCACAACACATATCGAGGGTGCGCTGAGTCGGTTCTCCTGTCAGCCACTCTTCTTCGGAATACATCATGCGATGTTCGTATTTTTCCGGGCGTTCCTTGGAGCGAACGCCAGGGAAGAAAACAGAACCCGAATGTCCACCACCAGCTGAATAACGAAACATCGGTATTCATTCATAGTGTCCCGGAGCTACAGGAAACGGATGCACCCTAAGCCCAATCCCATGACTGGGAAGAGTGGCGTTACGTACGCTAAGTACTCTCACTCCATAATGTGATAGACAAATCGATCTCGAAGCTGCCATCATCATCAAATTACCAAGGATGTGGCCCCGAAGTGTCGAAAGTTGTGCTTCGGTCCAAACGCGCGGGGCAAGTGTCGTGACAAGCCGCCCACCTGAGATTCGCTTGAAGGCGTTTAACACCAGACCCCAATAGACCGAGGCAGAGCGAAATCACCCCAGCAAGCCTTACTTTCGAGTCGTACAGCTGCGGTCCACGACAGACTCTGACAGGAGCAGCGACTTGCCCAATGACCCTCAATTTCATCGGAACTTCACCGCATGGGCTTCCCATCAACCGACATGAAGAGACTCAAAGTTCGATATCAGTAGTTCACCCAAGAAACCATTAGTTGCCAACCTCACAAAGGTCTGCTTGAAATCTCACTTCACACCCACGTCTTCAAACACAGTTCCGATATTCGAAACATCATCCTGTTTTTACACTAACGCACAGATCATCCTGTGGAAATTTTCCGGGCTGCATTGTCGCCAAGTGTGACATCCTGGGACATGATCATGATAACCGGAAACCTGGCTCAACGACTGTTAAGTATGGACCTTGGCTGATAAACGGAACAGCACTCGCACGCGTAGTATGGAACCGATTTACTGAACGCATCCTTCGTTGCAGTGGCTAGAGAAGTCGGAAAGCAAAGCCAACGATATGAGGAAAGTAAAGCGACGTCATTCTCAACCAATCATGTGAGCGCCTGTGTTTAAGAAGCGATACTAAAGTGCATACGTGAAAACGAAATCATTGATGCCAAGATCGCCTTACCATGTCCGTCCTACGAAATGATCCACCAAGTAGGAGAGGCGACGTCTTTTTGTACCAAAAATCAACGACTAACTGACCAAACACTGCCGCTGATAATCCGCATTTGAATGTTTTTTGATTTTTCAGAAATCGATAGAGTTGTACAGAACTTTTCCACTTGATCTTAAATACATTCTCAGTCTTATCGCAGTGACCTGCATTTTGAACTCGTTACTAACCTAGAGATTCGTGATACCATTGTACAATCACATTACCTCCCCTACAAGATTCAGAATAGGGAACAAACCAGCTATCATTGATCTTGTGTCTACACAGTAACAGTAAGCAGCCCGTTGGGACTCAGCGATCATGCGACACTTTTTTCAATACGTCGGAGACACTGTTACCTAGGTTCGTGGCTGCGGCTTTCCCTGCGGCAAATTTACCAGGTGGGAATGACTGATCCCGGATAATCATTATCCACCACTTTTACCACTTGGCCACTGAGCCATCCATAGTTCACGTAACTGATGTCATGAGTTGACCAAAATTAGTGTGCGAAGTAAAGAG